ACTCTCTCTCTCTCTCTCTCACACACACACACACACACACACACACTCACTCACACTCTCTCTCTCACACACACTCTCTCTCTCTCACTCACTCACACACTCTCTCTCTCACTCACACACACACACACAAACACTCTCACACATACACACACACTCTCTCTCCCTCACACACAAACACACACTCTCACACACACACTCTCTCTCTCTCTCACTCACACACAAACACACACTCTCTCTCTCACTCACACACAAACGCACACACTCACTCACACACAAACGCACACACTCACACACACACACACACACACACTCTCACACACACACACACACACTCACACACACACACTCTCACTCACACACACTCTCACTCACACACACACACACACTCTCTCTCACACACACACACACACACACACACTACACAAAGGTGAATGAGTGTAAATGTGCTGCAACAGATTTTTATGAATGATCCATTGATAAAGACACATGTGTAGTTTACTTGTGAGAAAACAAAAATTTACCTGTAAACAGACAATCAGACTTTCACTGGAATGCTGGTAAACCAGTTTGCCCTGTCAAACTATTTAAAGTCTTATAGACATTGTGGTGGTGTGTGTCTTTGGCAGGGTGTGTGTGTGTGTGTGTGTGTGAGTGAGTGAGTGAGTGAGTGTGAGTGTGTGTGTGTGTGTGTGTGTGTGTGTGTGAGTGTGTAATTCCTCTGTTTTAAAATCAGACCAAGACTTTTCATAACATCTGTTATTTCACTATAATTCATTTTTATGGAAGGCCTTTTCATTATTCACTTATTAGATTAAGCAGCGAGCTGGAGCAGAAGTGAAACGCTAAAAAGAAGAAGAGAAAGAGGTTTAAGAAAAGAATTAAAGTCAATATATAGTCACAATTACAAGAAATATTTTTTTCACTCTAAAGCAAGATTATTATTCTTAACTAAAGCTAAAACCATTAAAACATTGCTGTTACTTGAAATAAAATAAACATTAACTGAAATAAATTATATTAAAAAACTTAGTTATTTTTTTTCGGCTAGTAGCCAAAGCAACATTTCTTATTTTCATTTAGTTTAACTTAAAGTACTAACATAACTAAAACTGAAATAAATATTAATAAAAACTAAAGACATTAACAAATAAAAATAAAAATGACAAAACAAAATTTGAGCTAAAATTAAAGTGAAAACAGAAAATATCCAAATAAAATCTAATTTAAAATATCAACAAAAACTATAATAGAATCAATGATTCTAAAATAACGCCGACTGGATGTCCATAAACTCAAGCATTTAACAGCATATTCATTATATTTTTATTTAACCTGTTAATGATTTTTATTTAATGTTTGAATAAATCACCAGCCACCATTTAATATCTACATTTCAATAATGAACTGGAGCAGAAACATAATTATATCATTAATCACAAAAACTCTTAAATGTCGGTATACAACTCAGTTTTGAGTGTTAATTATTACATCTAAAAATAAACGGCAATTGAATTTAATAGTTTAGTATTAAAGTTTATTTTAATATAGTTTACATCTTCAGTTGAGAGAAGAAAAAAATGACATGTTACCTGATATATATTCAAACGAATTAACATCGAATTGAATCGTGAAATTGTGATGCCACAGACAGGACAAATGAAAGAGTGTTAAAGAACAATCAGACACTGAGAAACATCTGCTGGAATATCATAAGCAATTATATAAGCATTTCAAATGAGTGATATGTAGAGCAGCTGACTAGCGTCACGAGGAGTGAGTTTGTGGTCTGTGTGTCTGTTTTATGAAATGCAGAAATGCTCTTAGTCGCATTTAACAGCTCAACAAACAAATGAACATGTGTGTGTGTGTGTGTGTGTGTGTGTGTGTGTGTGTGTGTGTGTGTGTGTGGTGAGTGAGTGTGTGTGTGTGTGTGTGTGAGAGTGTGTGAGTGTGTGTGTGCGAGTGAGTGAGTGTGTGTGTAGTGTAATGTTGTAATGGCACAAGTGGATTACACGCGTTAGGCTACAGATCACTGGCTCAAACATACACACACACAAACACACACACACACACTGTTCTGTGAACAAGCAGTAATATCTGTGTCCGATCAACAACAGACTATCTGCAGTGGAAAAAGCACAAGGTCAGTGAGAGTAACTGGATCTGCTGTGCGCACACACACACACACACACACACTCACACTCTCACTCAGTGCCTCGGGTGTTTATCAATATATAAACATCATACAGCGCTGACAGACACACACACGCTTTAAAAGCCTTTCATCAGATGATCTCAAACACACAGCGCCATTACGAGTGTGTGTGTTTTTAGGATAAGTGGATACCAATCCACAACAGCAGGCTGAAGCACCTGGTTGCCATGGAAACATTTCTGTGAGGTGACAGTATTAGATAAGAAATGACGTGCTACGGCACTGACACGTTATATTAGACTTTTTCTGCTATTAAAATGACCATAACAACAGTAGTTGGTAACTATGGTATTGCCATGGCCTTTTACCATGGAAACACTAGATATGATGGTAACCATGGTATTACCATAACAACAGAACATGGAAACACCAGTTTTGATGGTATTACCATAGTATTGCCGTGAACTTTTCCCAAGAAAACACTAGTTATGATGGTAACCATGGTATTGCCATGATGACTATGAGATGGAAACATTAATTATGATGGCAGCTATTATTGGCATTGCCATAAACATCTACCATGAAAACACCAGTTATTATAGTAACCATACCATGACATTCTCTGAAGCTGTCATGTAGATACGGATAGTGCACCGTGGGATTATGCAGCACTTTTTATAAGGCTATTGTGCTTTACCTTCATGACGTCACAGCCGTTGCATAATTATCACACTCTCACTCAGTGCCTCGGGTGTTTATCAATATATAAACATCATACAGCGCTGACAGACACACACACGCTTTAAAAGCCTTTCATCAGATGATCTCAAACACACAGCGCCATTACGAGTGTGTGTGTTTTTAGGATAAGTGGATACCAATCCACAACAGCAGGCTGAAGCACCTGGTTGCCATGGAAACATTTCTGTGAGGTGACAGTATTAGATAAGAAATGACGTGCTACGGCACTGACACGTTATATTAGACTTTTTCTGCTATTAAAATGACCATAACAACAGTAGTTATGATGGTAACTATGGTATTGCCATGGCCTTTTACCATGGAAACACTAGATATGATGGTAACCATGGTACTGCCATAACAACAGACCATGGAAAAACCCCTCATGATGGTAACCATGATATTACCATAAAAACAGAACATGGAAACACTAGTTTTGATGGTAACCATGGTATTACCATAACAACAGACCATGGAAACACCAGTTTTGATGGTAACCATGGTATTACCATAACAACAGAACATGGAAACACCAGTTTTGATGGTATTACCATAGTATTGCCGTGAACTTTTCCCAAGAAAACACTAGTTATGATGGTAACCATGGTACTGCCAATAACAACAGACCATGGAAACACAAGTTATGATGGTAACCATGGTATTGCCATGATGACTATGAGATGGAAACATTAATTATGATGGCAGCTATTATTGGCATTGCCATAAACATCTACCATGAAAACACCAGTTATTATAGTAACCATACCATGACATTCTCTGAAGTTGTTATGTAGATACGGATAGTGCACCGTGGGATTATGCAGCACTTTTTATAAGGCTATTGTGCTTTACCTTCATGACGTCACAGCCGTTGCATAATTATGCAAATGACGTTTACCTGAACACACACGCACGTTTGTTATTGACACCTAGTCAATATGTAATTAAATCACTGTGACTGACGAGTCTCATGAAGAAATCTAGACACAAACACACAGCGACTTCCGCGTCCGAGAGGATAAGAGCCCTATGTAGTGTGACAGCGTCTCGACACCTAATGAGTTCACTAAATAGCGCGTCTGAGGCGAGTTCATCGGGGCCACACGAGCGTTTTCATCGTCAGAATCGTGACCTCGACTGCACGTAACGCTGTCACGGAGACACGGCCGGTGTTTGCGGTCAGATATTTGACACTCACCTCCTCCGGTTCCGCGCCGTCCGCTCCGTTACCGACCCGAGCCATGGCGCTTGATTCCCTGAGTTCGGCGCGGAACGTTAGCTCACATTAACAGTCACACATCTGGATCCGTCCGGGATCTCCGCCTAGTGCGCTGCTGCTGAAGGCGGTTCTTCGGCGGCGGACTCGGTCGGTTCAGCCTCTCGGTACGGTCGGAGGTGTGACGTCTGGCTTACCGGGCCACGCCCACCGACGCGTCACGCACGCGCTTTGCGATTAGAAACAGTGTAATAATATTTATAATAATTTAATTTAATAAAGTGATAAATAATACCCAGTTTTGTTTTACGCAACGGTTTGTGTGAACCGGAGGCAGAATCACGGGGAAACCTGAGCTCATGAATATTACTCGAGTTGATTGGTAACCTTCCTGACACATATCCTGATTAATATTCATAAGCCACGCCTCGTTCACAGCAGGCTTTGCTCATTGGCCAGCAGACTGGCGCCCGTCACGTAATTAATATTCATGAGCTCGAGATTCGGCTATATATATATATATATATATACACACACACACACATATAGTATACACTATATAATGAATGCCAAGGGTGTAGAATTTAGTGGGGACGCTAAAGATAACATAAAAGCTCTCTTTATTAAATCATGAGTATGTTGACTACAATAGCAAAAAACTTTAGATGATATGAAACTATGGTTAAAAGTCTATCATACATGCGGAAATGTTGGGGTAGTTGTCAACTATTTTTTATAGTGCTGTCAAACGATTAATCGCATCCAAAATAAAAGTTTTCGGTTACATAATATATATGTGTGTACTGTGTATATTTATTATGCATTTATATAAATACACACACATGCATGTATACATTTAAGAATATGTTTTGTTTATATATAAAATATTCATATTTATATATAACATAAATTATATATTAAAATATATATATGTAAATATTTTTTAAATATATAGATGTCTGTGTATTTATATGTACATAAACATACACATAATTTGTAAACAAAAACATTTATTTTGGATGCAATTAATCACGTACTAATTTATGGATGCTATTGAACTGTCAGCAACTGAACTGCAGCTCAGACTATTTCAGATACAGTGAATCAAGCTACAAACTCCATCAGCTGTTGGTGTGATTATTCAGAAATGGAAGTCCCTCCGCTCAAGAAGGCACATGTACAGGCCCCTCAAACTTCACCACATTGAGGGGCCGATGGACTAAAATCTGGGATCAAATACTTATTTGACTCACTGAAATTCAAATCAATTTATGTCCTTTATATACCGTACTTTTTGGTTGATATTCTGTCTCTATCTGTTAAAATTCACTGTTTTTGAACAGTAAGATTTTTAATGTTTTTTTGGTTTTCATCACATTGGAAATGAAAGATCAAGCACATGTCATTGTGATGCAGTAACTTTCCAAGTCTGCATTTTGAGGCCCTCAGATGTTAATAAGTCTGAAATCACAACACAAGCACCAAAGAGTACTGAAGATCAGTTTAATGCGTATTCACTGTAATATCCACACATGCGAGTGCTTTATAATACACATCTCGGGGCGTCGGAACGTGACAGACGATGCTAGAAGAACGTGTTACGGCTGAATGCATTCATTAAAGACAGCGTGAGTGATATTAGCACCGCGCTGAGATCAGATATAGTGTGTGTGATACAGACTCACTAGTGTGTTTACTGTATGATCTGAATGTAGCTGCCCTGTAAATAGTTTAATGCTCAGGTTTAACATGTACTTGATAGTGTCGCATCTTACAAACATCCGTCTAGGGTGCGTCGAACTAGATTTGCTGTATTTTCAGACACTATTTAAGGCAAATGTCCCTCAAATAGTTCGGAGTTTAACTGTAGCGTGATTGTAAAACACACCTGAAGTCTGTAAGTTCACTGCTGGTGTAATTTAATGCTCTGAGAGAAAAGGAAAGGCATAAATCTGACCTGTCAGTCAGCATCAGAATCAGACCAGACTTCACCTTTATTCGTGCCTCTCTCTCTTTTCCTGCAGAACGACACCTGTCTGAAATATCGAAAAGCACTGACGTCAAGGCATTGGGATTCATCTGTGACACGAAACCCGACAGCAAAGCTCCCAGAAGAGCTGCTGAAACACCCTGTGATTTATACTAAATCCTCACGAGGAATCGGCCAAGACGCTCTTCTTATCAGCGCGACCGCATAAAACTCTCTCCGACGGCGGATAAAAAGCCTGATTCCAGAATAACAACACAACGATAAAAGCAGGACTTGAACTCCGGCGGGGTCCTCGTGTCAGCTCTGGTCCGCACTGGAAACAGAGCAGAGATCAGTGAGACCGTCTGCTGCTGTTTAACATCTCTTCTAACGAGTGACATGACAACATACTCCGCAACGAACACAGAAAAACAAGCAACATTTAAACACCAGGCTGTTCTGGAGTTCTTAAAGGGATAGTTCACCCAGAAATTAACATTTGCTGAAAATACCCTCAGGATCATCCGAGATCATCAGGTTTGGAGAAATGTAGCACTGCATCAGTGTCTTAGCAATGGATGCTCTGCAGTGAATGGGTGCCGTCAGAGTCACCACTCCAGTCCATCAGTTAACATCTGGAGAAGACAAAAACTGGAACAAATCCAGCATTAAGACGCTTTTAAAGGGATAGTTCACCCAAAAATGAAAATTACCCCATGATTTACTCGCCCTCAAGCCATGCTAGGTGTGTATGACTTTCATTTTTCAGACGAATCCAATCGGAGTTATATTTAAAAATGTCCTGGCTCTTCCAAGCTTTATAATGGCAGTGAATGGGTGTTATTTTTCAATAGTCCAATAAAGCTAATCCATCCATCATTAAAAGTGCCTCACACGGCTCCAGTGTGTGAATAAAGGCCTCCTGTAGCGAATCAATGCGTTTTTATAAGAAACCTATCTATATTTAAAAGGTCCGGTGAGAATATGCTAGTCTTGCGAGAACCGACGTTTGTTTACAGGAGCAAAGGAAGCAAAGTTTCCTTACTTTAGCAAAGGAAGACCAGTCTCTTGGCTTATCGAAATCCTCCGACATTTTTATTTACAAATCTTTGTTTTGTGCTTCTAATTCGTGACCGGTGTTTTGTTTTGTTCTTACAGACGAGCTTACGCAACGCCTACGTCATCCGCCGGAATGAACGCGCGTACAACAGTTAGCAGAAGCTAGAGATTACGGTTTATAAAGTTTTAAATATGGATATTTTTCTTACACAAACGCATTGATTCTCTACAGGAGGCCTTTATTCACCCTCTGGAGCCATGTGAGGCACTTTTAATGATGGATGGATGCACTTTATTGGACTTCTTTTGGACTATTGCAAAATAACACCCATTCACTGCCATTATAAAGCTTGGAAGAGCCAGGACGTTTTTTAATATAACTCCGATTGGATTCGTCTGAAAGAAGAAAGTCATACACACCTAGGATGGCTCGAGGGTGAGTAAATAATGGGGTAATTTAAATTTTTGGGTGAACTATCCCTTTAACTAAAATATGAGTCCATAATCCATAATAACGCTTCCTCCAGTGAAAGTGGCACCCATTCACTGCAGAGGATCCATTGGTGGGCAAGTGATTCTTGGATTGGCCTGAGGGTGAGCACATTTATGGGTGAACTATTCCTGTATCGTGAGGCTCACTATGATGTTATGATGGAATTATGATGATGTCACACCTGTGAGGCACTTGTTTCGTATCTCGGGTCTCTTCGCAGACGTTCGTCAGACTGACGGCTGAACACAGACACAGAGACGCACTGTTATTACCACAAACTTTAACTAAACTAACATGAAATCTATTCACTGAAATAATTCATGCAGACTATAAATTAAATATATTTAAAAAAATCTAATTTAATCAAATGCTAAAAAAAAAAATAATAAAATAAAAAAAATATAGAATATATAGAATTGTTTTTTTTAGCAAAAAATATAATTTTTTAAAAGGACATACCAGGATTGGTATAGTTAACTAAAACCACAAAAAATTACTTTAATAAAAAAATTCAACTGAAATAAATTAAAATATATTTAAAAAATGCCAAGGCAACATTTCTCACTTTCATTTAGTTTAACTTGATGTACTAACATAACTAAAACAAAATATAGACAAAAATAAAATCAAGAACTGACAAAAACACAACAAAATATATAGTGTTTTTTAATATACATACATATAAATAGCAGTGTTATTTTAGTATTATTTATATAATAGTGTAGTTTTTATTAATATTTTGAAGAAGCTTTTATTTTTATATTTTCAGGTTTCCTTTTAATTTTTTGTAATTTTGTTATGTGCTTTTGTCATTTTTATTAGTTTTTAATTTTAGTGTTTTTTTACTGAAACTTATTTCAATTAGTTTCAAAGGCAACATCTCTACATCTTCGCTTAGTTTGTTTCATCTTTATTTCAATTAATGATAATGTTTTTAATAGGTTTAGTTTTAGTTAATGATACTAACCCAGATACACAGTATAATACTATAATAATAATAATAAATTAAATTATAAAAAAAAATAAAAACAAAACTGAAGATGGCAAACTGTACATAAGAGATGATCATTAGGGTGTGAATGGTTAGATTCTGTGAGCAGAGAGACGTCTGCAAGAAATCAGTTACTGACCAATCGAAGTATCCCAGAGGGCCGTGCGATGCTCTCACGAGTGTGTTATTACCTGATCCGGCGTCTGTCTCTCTCTCCTCCTGCAGCGAGTCGATGTACTCCTGACTCAGAGTCTCGTCAGCGTCTCCGATGAGGTAGATGTTTTTAAAGCGATGATACAACATGGAGGCTTTAAACATGATCGCCTCGCTGCCACGAAACCAGCGCATCTGACCACACACACACACACACACACACGCACACACACACAGTTTTTCAGGTTTCTTTGATGAATAGAAAGTTCAGAAGAACAGCATTTATCTGAAATAGAAATCTTTTGTAGCATTATAAATGTCTTTATCATCACTTTTGATCAATTTTAAGCATCCTTGCTAAATAAAAGTATTAATTTCTATACTTTCTTTCCCCCCCAAAAAAAAAAAAATTATACTGACTCCAAGCTTCTGAATGGTAGAGTGTATAATGTTACAAAAGCTTTTTATTTCAGATAAATGCTGATCTTTGGATCTTTCTATTCATCAAAAAAATCCTGAAAAAAAAAGTACTCAACTGTTTTAAATATTTATAATAATAATAATAATTTGTTTTTTTGAGCAGCAAATCAGCATATTAGAATGATTTCTGAAGATCATGTGACACTGAAGACTGGAGTAATGATGCTGAAAATACAGCTGCGTCGTGGCTTCATCGGAATGAGATGACACTTGGTGACTTTTGTCACATTAGCTATGTGAACACACAAAAAAAAAATCATGGACATGATTCGGATATGTTAAAGGGTAAAAAAAAAAAAAAGTCACACTTGGCTCCTTCCCGGTCAAAAATGATCGACATAGGAAATGAATGGGAAATACAATACTAAAAAATACAACTCAGAGACTCTTTTGGTGGTACAAACTACAAATCACCCACGGTGCAGAAAAAAAGTGCACAGCAATCAAGGGGTGACACTCTAAAATATAAAGACACACACACACAGAGACACGCACACACACACACACACACACGCACACACACACACGCACAGACACTCACACACACAGAGAGACACGCACACACACACAGACACAGACACATTATGTGTGAGATTGAACTATTCTACTTTGCACCAGTGAGTATCTTCACATATATGTACCTTGCTGAGCGTGTCGATGAGCTCGCTGTGGTTCTGAATGTTTCGAGACGAGACCGGGACGGTGCTCAACTCATCCAGAGCCAATAAACACTTACTGACATCCTGTGAGAAAAACACACAATAATCAATAATCATAGCGAGGTCAGTGAGCAGCTCTTTTGTACATAATATTAATATATATATATATACAGTGGGTACGGAAAGTATTCAGACCCCCTTAAATTTTTCACTCTTTGTTATATTGCAGCCATTTGCTAAAATCATTTAAGTTAATTTTTTTTCCTCATTAATGTACACACAGCA